TATAAATTAAAAAATAAACGCAACTTTTTCATTTCAGATTGATTGGAAATAAACAGGCAGGCAGGCAGGCAGGTAGGTAAGTAATTTTTTATTTAAAAAATCTAAAACTATTATTAAAAATGGACAAACATATCAATGTTGAAGGAATTATATTACCAAATGAACCCTTAACAAACTTTCAGTTAATAAAAGCAGCAAAAAAATTAAAAATTAAATATTTTAGAGGTGTATTTGTAAGAGATGAATTACCTAAAAATACACAAAACAAAGAATGTGGAATATTAAATACTGGAGATTCAAGTAAGAATGGATTTCATTGGATTTGTTGGTATAAAGATGGAGATGATAAATTAAGTTTTGACTCTTATGCATTACCACCTCCAGTTGAACTTGTTCAATATTTACACAGTCCTTATTATAATAGTAAAAAAATTCAGTTTGCAGACACTTCCTTTTGCGGACACTTGTGTCTTTATGTATTAAAAAAGCTAGATGAAGGTGTTGATTTTCAAAGTATTGAAAGTTCATTATATTGAATTAAAAAAAATATATATAGTATATAAAAAATGAGTATGAATATAGCCGGTAGTACTTCAATGTATGGTGACACAACAGAAGGATTAAATATCAACATTAATGTTGGCAATACAGCCACTACTGATGTTGATTTGAATTCACATAAACTTATCAATGTAGCTGATCCTACAGATGCACAAGATGCAGCTACAAAGAATTATGTAGATAATAATCAAACTTCTAGTGCATGTCTAAAACTAGATTGAACTAATAGTATGAGTGCTAATAAAAAAATAAAAATTCACATAAACTTATCAATGTAGTTGATCCTACTAATGCACAGGATGCAGCTACAAAGCATTATGTAGATAATAATCAGATTTCTAGCAGTTCTTATCTAAAAATAGATAGAACTAATAATACGAATGCTAATATAAATTTGAATTCACATAAACTTATCAATGTAGTTGATCCTACTAATGCACAGGATACAGCTACAAAGAATTATGTAGATCGCGTAATTCCTTATCAACATAAATATAAAGTTTTGATTATAGCTGGTCAATCAAATACATATGCTGGTAGAGAATGGGGTTTATCTCAATCAATAACTAATGTAAATTATATGAACAGACGAATAGTCCAATTTGCGATGGATAATGGACAAAATGATGTGTTACTTCCTTGTTCATTGAGGCTAGATGTAAATGAAACAGATAATAAATGTTGGGCAGGATATGGCTCAATACTTGCTGGACTTATAATGCAAGATGCTGTAGGTGCAAATAAATTAAATATAATAAATCCAGATGAATGTTTAATGATACTTCCATGCATGCTAACTGCTAAAAGTTTCAGTAATGATTTTATGCCGTATGGAACTGGTTTTAAAGATTTAACTCGTAGAATTAATTTTCATCACATTATAATGCAGAGTTTTGCTGTATGACTTGAAGTCAAGGAGAAGACGATTCTATAACTGGTTGGTGTGATAACTATGCATATATTCTAATGAATTTTATACAAACCATTAGAGATTATATTGCATACTCATCAAACCAATTTGATACATTGCCAAACTCACAAATAAAAGCAAATAAAATGCTATTCATTACATTTCAAATGCTATCTTCATGGGTTCAAGCAAACTCAACTACAGCAACTCAAGTTCAAAATGCATTAGGAAATATTATAAATTATTCTCCATATACAGCTAGTACATCTCTAGATGGTATGCCTCCCAATCTTAGGAGTGCAAATTTTGATGGAGTACATTATGATTCAAGACAACAAATATTTTTAGCAAACAAATTTTTTGAAGCAATACCAATTGCAATGAATAATTTATATGGTGGTGGTTATGCAACACCATATATTTCTGGAGAAGTATTATTAGTTAGACAAGTTGCTGGGTATTTATTTCTTAACAATTATTATAGCGCCTATAGAGTATTTAATTCTACTCCATCTACTGCTCAAATATATAGTTCATCATTTACTAGTTGGCAGTATAAAAACAATGATGGCTATTATAAATATAGGATTAAATATAAAATTAATGGTGTATGGAATAGTATTATATTTAAACAAGCATTCCTTCCAATGATGTCTATGGCTTATCAAAATGTTGCACAACTCATATCAACAGATACACCATTTGGATGTACAGAATTAGGACAAGGATTTTGCGGTTTAAATTTGACAACTATAAAAAGCATGATGAATTCTGGAGCAGTACTTACACTAGATACAATTGGTGGTTATTGGGCACCTGTATGCCAAAATATGAACTATGTATATAATGGACAACCTGCAATGCCTATATTTGATAATTATACACAAAATAGTACTCTTCCATTTGTAGCAACAGAACTAGAGATTATATGCTGTAAGAGATTAGTAAATACCAATCTAGATTTTCATAAGCAAATCCAGCGCATGCGTACTAAAAAATCACATGACCTGTGACGTCACGCAAGAAAATTTCGTGACGTCAAAGAAATGAAATTGATACTAATTTTTAAATCTAAAAAATTGATTTAGAAATTTATTTCTTAGTTATATAATTTATACACAATATGGATGATAATGAACCCTATATTTAATTAAATATATGGTTAAAAATATGGTTAAAAATGAAAATGAGCTAGAACCGGCATACTCCCTCTACTATTGCTAAATAAAACATTAAGAAATACAAAATTAACATGAATGTAACAAAATAAATAACAAAAGTGGGGTATGAAAAATTGATAATTTGCCAAACAGATTGCAAAAAGATGATAATAGAAATTATGCATTTCTTTTAAACTTTTTAGATTCACTTTTTTGTATAATATTAGATATTGTAAATTATATTTTCTCTATTTCACGAAGGAACTTAGCGATAATACATTTTGTCTTCTATTTGCCCCAGTCAAATTTTATTTATATATATGTATTTGATCTTAAGGGTAACATTGAAAAATGTGTGCAATTGACGAAATAAACTAAATAAAAAAACGTGTTAATGAGCTTTAATCAGTTTACCAAAGTTATGTTGATGAATCAAAATGAAATGAATCAAAACAAATATTTCCTTGGTGTGTCAGTAGCTTTTTATAAGGTAATGTTTCTTCGAAAGGATACGTTTAAAGGTACAATTTTGGTTTTTTGGCTGTATCCTAGGTACCAGCAATTTACGGTATTAAATTGCTTCAAGCTGAAGTAGATAATTTATAAGAAAATAAAGGTTAACTCAAAAATAATAAATCCAAACTTAACTAGTGGCTATCTTATATGAAATTTAAATTTGAAAAATCAACATAAATCAACCGCTTTAATGACACTATTCTTTTGTTACATAGAAATGCGTCATTAAAATCATAGTCAATAGAAGTTATACCTTTACCTTTACGTCATTAAAATCATAGTCAATAAAAGTTATATATAACTTCTATTGACTATGTTAAAATAAGTAAACGTAAACAAAATTAAAAATTTCCAGTTATTTTTTACTGCATCAAGTTAAAGTTTTCAAGCTGAAAAATTAATTTTTTTTAAACTTGTTTTTTATTTATTTTTTAACTTATATATGGAAATACTAAATAAATGTTTTGGTAACTGTCTATCTAAACCCAAATTAGTTGCAATTTGACTCAATTTTTATCCACATAATTTCATCTTACTATATTGCATTTATAAAAATTTAGCCATTTTTATAGGACCCAAACATGTCTAGAAAATTATAAAAATTAAAAAATAAATTATTTACGTTTCATTATACATAATAATACGCGGGAAAATGTTTTACACCAAATCTCTTTTTAAAATTATTTGTAATTTTGTTTATTTTTTACAATAAGTTGAATGTAAAAAATAAAAGTTAATTCATTATTTGTAATATACTTTTGTTTATTTTTCACATTAAGTTAAATGTAAAAAGTAAAAGTTAATTCATTATTTGTACATACTTTTTTTACTACACATTATTTGTAATATACTACACATTATTTGTAATATACTTTTTTTTATTTTTCACAATAAGTTGAATAAAAAAAAAAAAAGTTAATTCATTATTTGTAATGTACTTTTGTTTATTTTTCACAATAAATTGAATGTAAAAAATAAAAGATGGAATTGGAAAGACTCGCAACTTTCAAATTTTTCATATTATAGTTTTTTGGTTTTATTATTTTGAAGCAATTAATTTTTTTTGAAAAAAAGTTGAAAACTGCTGATGCCTAGTAGAAACCAGCAATTTTCAATTTTATTTTTATTTTGGAACACAAGTTTAAGGATGTGCAGTGTAAATCATAAAAATTTCGTTCCAAAGTAAGAAACGAGACAAATACCAATTATTATGGCGCCTTCGAACTCAGTAATTACTGTTCTCTTTGGACACAATCTGGTTTCACATGTTTTTAAATAAAACCTAAATTTAAAAAATTTAAGGTTACAATGACATTTTAAACCTCTCATTTTGACTAAACATATTTTTAAAACAAAAGTAAACCCAGAAAATGAGTCACTGTGATCTAGATTGGTCTAATAAACTAACTCTATCTATTAGTCTTTTAATTAAGCTATTTTTATACTGTTTTTAAAGATGATTTTAAATTAATGGCATATTAATTTATTTAATTAAATTAATTAATGGCTAAAATTACGTAAGTTTTTATATATGAATTAATACATTTTAAAATTTGTACATTTTAAAATAAAACAGTTAAAGCATAGCACTTTTTTAGATTTGAATTATACTTACTATTTTTTACATTTTTTTATTACAACTATATTAACAAAAAAATGATATTTAATTGTAATTTATTTAAATATACTTTTATTTTTTTATTTATTTTTTTGAGAAATAAATATGAGATTTTTAAATATTTCTTTTTAAAATTACTGTGCTATGCTGTTATTCAATAAAGCTGCATTTATTTAAAGTACCCGCCTAAAAAGTAACAGGTCATTGTAATTTGTATAAATTTATATATTTAGATTTTGCGTTTGGACATCATTTTTTAAAATTATTAGTTCGTCTATAATGAGGTTACCTTGCCTATCATACGCAAATTTCAATTTAATACCAAACAATTACTATATTGGAGTCATGGAGTCAACATATATTGCAAGCAGTATTTTTGATTGTGGCACCTACTGTGTTAGAAGCCCATCTTGTGTATTTGCCAACTATAATGAAAATCAACACATTTGCGAGTTAATGTCATCTTTAGCGAATTCTTTAAATAGTTCAACCAATCAAGATTGGCAAGTACTGATAGCTGATTTTACAAATAATACAAATGTGAGAATATATATATATATATATATATATATATATATATATATATATATATATATATATATATATATATATATATATATGTATATATATAAATAAATAAATATACATAAATATACATGCACTCAAAAGATAATTAATTAAGCTAATTTAAAACAATAGAATAAAGTTGAAAGTATGCTGTTGCACAGTTAAAATATGTTAAGTCTTATGCAGGGTTAGTTCTACACGCAAAATGGGGGATGGGGAGGGGTAACTTTCTTAATGTGATAGACTTAGTTTTTCAAAAAAAATAATTGAAAAGTTCGTATTACTAAAATACCGGACTAATTCCTTTATTTTTCCTGAAAAACAGGGTAACTTAAAAATAGTATCTTATGGAATGGAGAGGAGATGAAAGTTAATAACGCTGCAGAATTGCCCCTGGTCTTAAATACGTAGATGATAAAAATAGAATTCAAGTTAAAAGTACTTATCAATACTGTTTTAAATAGGTTTATGTTTTCATTATTTATATTTCATTGAGGAATTCAATTCCAATCCTTTATGACTCTGTTAGTAATGAAATGGTGACAAGTTTTAGAATCGGTAAACTGTCTGCTTATGTTACAGTTGTTACTTCTGCTAGATCTTTTGCGATTAAAAACATTCTGAAAGGGTGATGAAAATGAAAAATTGTACATAAAAATGAAAAAAAAAAAAAAAAAATACAACGTTTCCTGTTAAAACATTATTAAATTGAACAATATTATCCTTTCATCTGGTATCTTGCAAAGTTAACAATTCTAATATATTTAATCTTTCTTCATAAGACTTTCTCGTATAAGAATACAAATAGTTAAGATCCATGTACTGAACTTTGCGTTACTCAACTTGTAACCATCTTCCATCTTAAAATATATTATCCTATCAATACTCTCTATGTAAAGTCTGAAAAAATAGCTTTGCCCCAGTTGTGCTAAAATGGCACGAATTCTAATTCAATTAATATCTTCTATATTTTATGTGAGAGATCTTCTACAAAATCCTGCTATAAAATATCAATAAAAAAATTTTCCAATTTTTGCTTGATTAATTCTAATGTTTGCAACAAGTTTGTTATACAACGTTTATTATGAATAAAACCTTGTTGCTTTTTTATAAATTAAATTGTTTTCAATGAGATATACAATCATCTGGTCTTTAATAATTCGCTCCATAAACACAATATTCTAAACTTCATTTGGGAAGAAAATATAACTGCAACTTACAAATTTGAATTTATAAGTATTCTTTTTTTTATATAAGCATTTGTTTTTATTGATCGAATTGCTTTATTGAATTCCGCTACAGCATTCATTTTTGGTCAATACTCATTTCTCAGTTTCCTTCTCCAGAGGGAAAAGCGTTAGAAACTCTTTTGCAATAACCATAATTACAATCGGATTAAATGATAATCAAGGATAATATATTTATTTTAACTTAAAATATATGTCAAAAAACCATGACATTCTTATATATTTGATTTTAAAATTACCATATGCACATTTTTTTTCAAATAAGCACTTGTGGTAATATTTTTTGTTTTTTTTTGTTTTTTTAAGTTTTTACTTTTAGGTCATGGTTAATATAGTAATAGTAGTAATACTAATATAAATAAATATTCGTTCATTAACACAGTTACATAATAATAAAATTTTAATCATTAAAATAATTAAATGCTAATCATTATTATAGTTAGTTGTAATAAGTATTGGTTATATTTGCAGATTGGACCCATCTGTGAAAATAACACACCTTGCGAGAACCTATATTGTAGGGATGTATGCACATCAGATGCATTAACCCACGCATACCTTTGTTTAGGTATTTTTGATTTTTTTATAGCTTATAAACTAAGTGCAGCAAAAAGTTATTAGTTTTTAATTATTATCAAAAAATATTACTTCACTTGATTTAAAAATTATTAAAATTTGCTATTTATTTTTATTAATTATGTTATTATTTATTAAAGATAATGAATTAAGGATCAAAATAACCGTAAGAAAAAAAAGTAAATAGTTAATATTAAATGACTTTCCTTCATATGTTAAATTTTTATAGCTTCTTCTTAACCTAAACATAAATGAACGAACATTTTTGTCTTATAAAAGAAGATTATATAAAATATTTTTTTTATTCTGTTATTTAGAATAATACACTATTAAACATTATGCTGAGTACATTAGTTAGAAACATGATCTAAAAATTTTTGTCATTACAAAAGTAAAAAATAAGATATTTCACCTGGATCTTGGGACAGCTTTGCATCATTAATTGCATTGACGGAAAAAAACAGTAACTGTACATAAACAGTAACTGTACATAAACAGTTGAACGTTGTATTTCAAAAAACTCACAATTTTTTTTAAAAAGAGTCACAATTTTTTTTAAAAGTGTGGTTATTGAAAAATAATTTTTTTTAAGAAAAAGATAAACTTTTTTATATAAAATAAACATTTCTTTACATGAAAAAATTTTTTTTTAGATAAAATAAAGATAACATTTTTTACTAAAGAAACATTTTTCATTCTCCTGTAAAATTTTAATTTTTTTGACTCGTCACGTTTTACGAAATACAGCGTTCAATAGAACTGACCAAATAACTTCAAACGAATATCTTGGAGGAATCATTAAAAATGACCTTAAAAACAAAATCTAATATAAGCAAAAAAAAAAAAAAAGTTTTTAAAAGCCACTAACACAGCACAAGGCTGGGGTCTAGATTCTTTTATGAATCCATTAATACAAATACATCTGTTTCAATATTTTATAAAAAGGTTTACATTAATATACCAATGTAATACATTTTTAATAGGTGGATCTGATAGAAAAAACTGTTTGCAAAGAATATTTTTTCAAATTCAACTTTTGAACCTAATGACTGGCTCCTTTTTTTATTTCAGTAAAACAGTGTAATCCGCCTTAAGACATCTAAATCACTTCTGCTTTTTTTTTGACTAACAATTCAAGGTTAAACTCCTGTCTTAAAAAATGTTGTCTTTATTATCGTTTAGAACAGGAAGATGTTTTTGAATATACTCTTTTTTCTGTCACAACCTTGACGTTGGGGTGGCTTAGTTTTATTAACTATAACTTCAAAAATAACTCAGTTATTTACAGCACACAGCTATTGAAATTATGTTGAGATATTGATAAATGGCAACCCTCTCACTGAGTCCTCTACTTTACGTCTTCTGGTATTATCATTCACTGCCTCTTATGGAAATAATACAACCCATGGCAAAGTTAGCAATTACAAAGTACGATTGTACTTATCATGTTTGCCATGCTTTACTTCCTACTTCATTATCTATCTCTAAAAATCTCAGAATTATCCCTGTGTGGAATATTGTTGTTAAATGATACTCCTTGATAACGTCCAAAAACGCAATAAAAATGTAGTTAGACCAGTTCTATCTGCCAAACTTGAGCTACTCACCTATTTTTATTAGATAGCGTCCCTTTTTCTTTTCTGCAAATGCAATCATAGTCATAATTATAGAAGCTGCTCTACCAAACTAGTGTCTTAAGTTCCATCTACCAAGACTCACTCTTGTTTGATTTTTTATTCTGCATCTTTTCGCATTTTCACAAGCGACATTTTTTTTACTTTATCTGTATCTTCATGCACTAAATTTATGGGAGGCCATAGGGGTAGTAGCCTCGCCCTTGCGACTTCTTTTTAGAAATATTCATTTGTAAATTGACTTTTATACAGAATTGAACTAATATGCTGACGGATCATTGACTATTATTCGTAATTATATGAACTTGATTATTACGCTATATTAAAAAAAAATTAAAAAAGAAAGCTGTTTATAAATGACTCATGCGGACCTTTTTTTTTTATTCTTTGTTAAATTTTTTAGCCCTCTTCAACGCGATTGATTAAACCCGCCCCTGACGGGTTTGACTTCATTTTGTCCGTGAGTATTGACTTTTTTCTTGGTCTGTATGCCTTCAATCTCTGCTCCAGCTAGCAATTGTTCACTATTTTACAGCTTACATAAATGTCTTGACTTAACTCCATAAATATCTACTTGCAAGAACATCTTCTATCACTAAGAATAATTACTTTGATTTTTCTCTTAAGTCTAGGGGTAGTAATTCTTCTATGACTTTGTTTTTTAACTCTTCAAGCTTCAAGCTTTCTACCCTCATCTTTTTTTTTTTTTTTTTCACTACACAACTATTTGTATTGATTTTTTAGCTTCAATTTTTTATCTCCTTTTGTTTTAGATCACTGTTCTCCAACAAAACACAGTTTTGCTCTTTTTTTTAGGATGTTTTCTTTTCCCCATCATTTCAAAATCGGTCAAAAATGTTAAAGATCTTGATGAAGAAATACTTTTTTATTTGGTCAGAACCAAAACTTGAGATTTGTAGAGTCCAAGTACATACCAAGTACACCACACACGACAGAGAGTTAAAAGAAGTTGACGCCAACTCAAATTGACTTTTTCACAACTTACATGTAAATTTCAGCAATATATATATATATATATATATATATATATATATATATATATATATATATATATATATATATATATATATATATATATATATTTAAAAACATGCAAAATTTAAACAAAATGACAGTATAATTATAACTATCAAAAGCTATTTTATTATCAGATGAAATTGAAAAACTGTAGATAAGGTTGGTAAAAGATAGTGAAACTGAATGTTTTAGTAAGTCGAGATGAACTTGCGCAGGTATTTTTGTTGCCAGGCTACAATAACCAAACTTTTTTGTAAAACATTATGTTTTGACATAAGCATAAAAATGATTAATATTGATACAAAACATATGCTTTTAAACTGTCTTTATTATGTCTTTTGCAAACCAAATGCCATTGGGCATGTTACAGAGATGTAAAGTTGTGCTAAAGTTTTGTTAAATTAGGTTTTAAACATTTTATTTTAAAATATGAATTAGAAACATCCTTATATAAGGAAAATTAAAAAATAGAAAGGTTTACGTAATTTAAAATCAACTTGCAAAAGAATAAATTTAAAATTTATTTGATATCTAAGAAAAAGATTACCAAGCGTGAAAATAGTAAAATCTATGATTTACTATTTTCACGCTTGCCAAATCCTGCCAAATCGTGATGACGACGAGTTAATAAATATTTTTGCTTTACTATCTTGTACTACATATATCTACAGTTTTAATAATTGTATTTAACATTAATTTAATGCTATATATATATATATATATATATATATATATATATATATATATATATATATATATATATCTGCATATATATATATATATATATATATATATATATATATATAAATATATATATATATATATATATATATATATATATATATATATATATATATATATATATGTATATATATATATATATATATATATATATATATATATATATATATATATATATATATATATGTATATATATATATATATATATATATATATATATATATATATATATATATATATATATATATATATATATATATATATATATATATTTAAAGTAACAAACGATGCGTCAAAAATTGGAACTCCTTCATTATCAACAGCATATTCGTCGTCAACTGCTGCAAGTAAAGCAACCGATGGTGATCTAAATACTGCTGCAGAAAGTCATTATATTGATAATAATAAATGGTTTAAACTAGACCTAAAATTTGTTTTCCGAATAAATCAAATTATTATATGGAATTCGAGTTTTCGTCCATACAGAATGAATGATAATAAGTTGTTTGTGGGTATAACCGACGCAACATCTGATTATTATCAAATTGCAATTTTAAACTCCAACATAAAACAGAGCTTTTTGGGTTCATTCATTGCTCGATATATTTTTATTAATAATACTGTTGCCGACGCACTTCAGGTTGCAGAAATTAACGTATTTGTATAAATTCAACTCTTTTTATTATACTCTTTGAAAAAATTTCCAAAACGTTTTATAAACGTTTTGCTAAAGTTTTACTTAATAAATAAACTTCCTAAACTCTTAATTTTAAGTTAATCAAACTCTGTGTTTTATGTTTAAAATGTAAAATCAATTCTTCTCAGGTTTTCTTTTATAAAATTTGATAATTTAAAAGTCATAAATATTTCTTTGAGCAGTTATTTTATTAATTATATTCTAATAAAATTTTGCATTAATTTTTATAAAAGTTTTAACATTTTTAAAAATATTTGTCAAATCATAATCATAGTATTTAACTAGTCTGGAAACGCGGGCCGTTTTCCATAAATTTCGTAAAATAACTTGAGCTTTAAGGGGTGACCGGACTGAGAGTGCATCAAGTGTTTTTAAAATGACTTTTTGTAGCGCAGACTTTGAAAATTTGAATGAATTCGATGCTGTTTTAGCTGCTATTGAGTTGTTCTTTGTTGAAGGCAGATCTCAATTTTAGTTCAAACATTAGACTACCTTTTAATTTATCCTAACCAAAGTGAAGAAAGAATATTTATGTGTTTGTTTTGCAAGAAACGATGTATATCACACGGTGACTCGTCACCTCAACGCCAAGCACAAGGACAAGATTATTGATAAACATTTAGTAAAGAATAAAAGAAAGCAAAGATTATTCTTCAACCTATACAATTTTATAATTATTTAATCAAGATTGCAGTAAAGCTTGCTTCAGATAAATGGTACTTTGCTACAAGCTGACATTAAAAGTTTAAAATCAAGTATTATATTTCAATTATTTCAAGAAGAAGTCATTACAGCTTAGTTCCTATTAAAATGTAACTGCTTCATTTGTTTGAAATGCTGAAATTTTTTACCACTGATTAAAACATGAAAGAACATGAAGTAGCATTCAAAACATGAATGCTTTTAAAACATGAAAGAAATTATTTTTTTCAGAAAATATTTTGTAGAATCGATTCTACAAAACTTTTTCTGAAAAAACAATTTCTTTTATGCTTTGAAGTAGCAAATCTTGTCTTTGTTTATGTGACTGGCACCTTTTTTATCAATGATATTATAACATTTAAGCGTGTATTTCTCTACATTACTAAACAAAACATTCTATTATGACTTAGTGGGAATGCTTTTGGTGCCTCTAATTTTACAATTGGTTTTAATTCTAACATGCCTAAGTTGTATAATGAGCAGTGTTTATCGTATTTGCTTGCAGCTAAGTATGCATGATCATCTAACATTTTACATACAAGTTCGTAGATTGTACATTGCAAAATATAACCTGAAAGCTTTCAAAATTCAGAAAAGTCAAACTAAATTGATATATAAAGAACATCAATTAAAAAACACCCTCTACTTTTGGAATAATTTGGAACATTTTGGAACAAGAACATTAAAGAAAAAGTGAGATGAACCTACTAAAACGGCTATTTTCATAGCCACATATTTTTTAAAAATATTATTGGTATATAATTAGCTCCTAGATTAGTACAATAATGCTTCATGTATATTTAATAGTTTTATGGTGTAGTAACTTTGTAATAAAACAACAATAAAAGATTGAATAATAAAAATAATATAATTGTGTTTTTAATTTTAAAATAATAATGACAACACTACTATTTTACATATCTAAAAAATATTTAGTTTTGAACAAATCTAATAACACTTTTTTTTTTTTGGCATGACTAAATACTATATTACTACCACTCTATAATACCCGTGTAGGTAAATACATTACATTTCCAGCTACTAAAAATATTTTTTATTTAGTTATTTTTGAAAGTTATTAAATGATACGTTACCCTTGCAAACACTAAGTGATTGTTAGTGTCGGGAATAATCTTCAGATAAGCTTTTCCATAATGTAATAAAATTTTTAAGATTAACACTTTTTAATAAATGTTTTGTCAACTTTATATGCTCAAAAGTAAGTTTAGGTAAAATACAAAGGCCACATTCTCTGTCTTCATGGTTCCACTGTATAAACTTACCATCCTAACATACATCTCTTTTTTACATATGTTTTAAGTTGGATAAGTCATATTTAATTAAGACAGTAACAAGTTGTCTTATTTTAATGTGGTGGATTAGGCATAAACGAATCATTTAAAATGCCTATTCAACAACTTGTGATTTGCACAAACATCGCAAGTTACAAGCAACAACTTTTAAGAAAATTAGTTTGCAAATTTTGATTGGTTTCTAAAGCAAAAGAAACATTTGTCATGCAGTGGCACTAGTTGTAAAAGTCAAGTATATCATCTAGATTAGTCAAGTATATCATCATACACTGCAGCTGACTTTAAAACTAGATAATTAACATGAAATATCTTATTTTAGTTGAAGATAACCTTAGATTTTGAGATATTATTTTTCTGCATTCAACAAAATAAATATTAAATTATAGCTTTAAATTATTATTTGAAATAAAATTTTGTAACTTAATTTGATACACTATGATTTTTAAATAGAATTCTGTAATCTTCTCTAATACACTGTACTTTTTTTATAATTAAATTAAATTTGATTTACGTATGATAGTAATGCAATATTTGGTAGTAAACTTTTGCATCATCTTTATTGCATCAAGTATGTTTTTTTATTTGCTATTTGCAATAAAGCATAAATTGCAATACAGCATAATAAAAATAAAAATTTATATACAAGCTATTTTTAAAGTATTTATTAAAATCCTAATTTTTTTTACTGATGAAGATTTTCACTTGTTAATAAAAATAGTAAAACATTTTTCACACAACATTTATTGTTAGTATAGCACTTGTAAAAAAGGTAGAAGTTCTACCGTAGAGTAGAATATGTGATATGCACATAGTAAGGTAAGTCTTCTACCTTCCAAAATAAAAAATTTTATCTTTAAAAGTAAAAATGTTTTCCTTGTAAGATAGAAAATTCTTCTACCTTCCAAAATAAAAAATTTTATCTTTAAAGGTAAAAATGTTTTCCTTGTAAGATAGAAAATTAAACAACAAATCATTATTTTTAATATAATTTAGGTAATAATTAAAATATAATTTTCTCTCTAAGGTAGATAAATATGCTGTGTTAAGGGTATAACACAAATCTCAAAAGATACCAACATTATCTAATTTAGCTTTGAAACCATTCAAAATGATAAAATTGTACCTGATTTTTTCTTGTTTCCATAAAAAATACCAACATAGTGTAAAGAGTGATATATAAATTATCAACTAATCTAGCTAAGTAAACTATATATAGAACATAGAGTTTATTAAGCTCTATTAGCTAACATTTTAAATAAATATACTCTGAATATAATACAAAGCATTTATACCCATATACATCCATCAAGTTATACAATCGATAAAATGTTTACATCTCTAACATATTTTCATATAGTATATAATTTTAATGCTGATATGATATAAGCTATATGATTGAATAAGCATATTAATACCACTACAAACTCTGTCACATAACTACATTTATCAACAGTTGATGTCTTTATTTTATTCTATATTCATCATTTTTATTTGGAATACGAAATATATATGCAATCCAAAATTTTAACTTGAAACTGAATAATCAAAAAAATTACAATTTGTTCATCCATTTCAATATTTATCCCAGAATACGTAACTTATCTATAGCGAAATACAATGTTTACAATTTGATGCACTCTAAAGTAGGCTAAGCACTAGATTAGAGTGTTTTAAGAAAACGGCCCGCGTTTCCAGACTAGTTAAATACTATGACTATGGTCAAATTTTTTTTTTAATGATCTAGCTACGATTTTCTAAAACGAAAGCGTTTATATGTTTAAAAAAATTAAATTTTAAGTCAAAATATAAATGAACTGTTGTTTTATCATGTTTTAACTTATTTTGAGGGAAAATCTTAAGGCTGCATCCTTTTTAATTATACTTTTTTAAATAAGAAAGTAGTGGAGTAGGAAAGTGGCAGTTAATAGCGATCAGCTCCTGCTTTTGTAATCAGCTTAATCAAGATTGCAGTCATTTTTATAGTTGATTTGTTATTCCTAATATCATGGTTTTCTTAAATATCTTCTAGAGCTACAATAATGATCTATCCCTGTTTTCAAACTATTACCCGGATTCCAAAAACAAAAAGCTGATTTAATTGTCAGCAGATCTGGAGGTTTGTGTATTTGAAAAACTGTTTTTTTTTTAAATTCTCAAACAGGGAGTATAACTTAAATTTGAACACACGTTCGCCACAACATGAAAAATATCCGTAATATATTTTATTTGGGTTTATCTGATTTCTGCGTTGAGCTAATTAATTTATTAGAAAATTTCTTTTTTTTGTGTATAGGTAATTACTAAAATGGTTAAAAATACGGCTGTACCGGATTTAACGTTTTAAAATCCGCCCGGAACCGGATTAGCTGAATTTCTGCAGACAAATTTGGCCGGAGCCGGAGCCGAAGCAGGATTTTAAAACAAAGTTGCAGAATGTTCAGCTATGTTTACCATTCTTAATATCATGTGACAACTGTTATCTGTTAAACTTCATTGTTATTATTAAAACAGAATTACACAATTTTACATAATATATTATAACACAACAAAATAATTGATAAATTAGTGAAATTTGAAAATAAACTAAAGTAACTTAAGTTTCCATTACTTTTCTAAAGTATTCTAAAATTTAGAAAATTTTCCGAGCTGCATTATGTGGCAGGAGTGAACTACAATGATCATTGAGGACCTCCCAGCAACACTGAACAAACCTTCTGATGGTACACTTGTTGGTAAGGCACCCAAATAAATGCGAACTATTATTGCAAAAGCTGGCAATTGTTTCATGTGATTACTCCTCCACTGTAATGGATCAGCGTGTCTTTTTATTTCTGGTTTTGCCAGATACAGACTAAGCTGAGTGTCAATGCGTATTCATAATTTTAATTTTACTGCTGGTTTCAGCAAATAACGAAAATATTTTTTACTACCGGCTAGTCAACCCAAAAAAATCAATCAGGAATATTGATTACATACATAGGGGAGGACTGTTTTAATTAGAACATTTCCCAGCCAGCAAATCATATTGGGCCCAAGTGGGCAGATTTATGGGATCTAAAT